TCTATTACATTTAATGCAAGGTTACAGAAACAGAATTGTACAAGTCTGAAAGCACTTCTCTCCCCCCCCCCCCCCCGCCTTTACGTTCTGGAGAACTAGGGAGGATCAATTCTGAGATGCTTTTTCCACCCCCATTCCAGCTTTAGACTCAGATTCTTTTATCAGACCAATGTCTAGCCTGTGGCTCTTCCTCTTGTCTCTCAAGGTTATTCTCACAGCCTATTATAGTTCTAATATTTGCTTGACACTGTCATAAAATCATAAATGGCAAATTGACAGGACTCCAGTTGAGCCAGTGTGTACCTATAAATATCTTGGAGTGTTGTTCCACACCTCTTTATCTTGGAGCACACATCTTTCCTACCAGACTAGTGTTGCTCAGGGTAGCTCCACAGTTATTAAGATCATTTTTTTCATTCAAAGAAAGCTCATTATATCCCTGCAGCTTGCAAAGTTTTTCTAGCCAAAGCTGTCCCTCAACTTCTTTATGGTACTCATATTTGCTCTCTTACTAAGTTCAATACTCCTGAAGTTGTTCAAACTAAGTGTGATAGAATGTGAGGGTGGACTTGGAAAACGGGGGAAAGAGATGCCACCTAGGAAATGATCAGATAAAAGAGAAAGGAGTCCGCAACAGGGTAACTGTCAAAGAAAGAAACTTAGGAAAGACCCACCCTAACTACTCAGGTGGTAAATAGGGAGGACAGGTGATTTATGCTTTCAGACTTGCAAGGTTCTGTTACGTAGCCTAATAATACAATAGAATTAATTCATCTAGTCTTGTTTCCTGTTTGGTTTACCTGGGAGGGCTGACATCAATCTTGCAAGTCTGAAGCACAAAACTCCCACCCTTTATTGTTCCCTTTATAGGGACTCTAGTATGACACTCATCTACCCCAACCTGAAGAAATTTCCAGACAGCATGGCTTCCATTTGTTGCTCCACCCAGGTTTATGCTCCCAGGTTGCCCAGTTCTGTGCCTCTATATGTTCTATTCTCCTTATTCATAGCTAAAGATTTTTATTTTCATCTATTTACTTGTATTTTATGTTATTTTACTTTACCATTATTGTACTCTTTATATTGTAGTTTTTATATTTACATTTCTATTCTGTGCTATATATCTTATATGTACTTCTTGTAAATTGATGTATATTTGTAAGTTTTATATTGCAGCATTTTCAGCTTTAGAGACACCTGAATTATTAAAAGTGATCACTAAATCCTATTGGAGACAAAAAAAGCCCACAATTAATTTTTATTTTTAGACATTATTGATAAATCAATTTGATCTACAAATTTTAAGACTGAATGAAACAAGGAGATCTTCATTTTGCCTAAACAATGGGAAACTTTTTAATATCAGTATCAAAAGTTTTAATGGAGTTTATATTACTTATTCAACAAAAAATATTTCTGCCTTACTGGATCCCATTGCATTTGTACAAAAAAGGAATAAATAAATGATTGTGTTGTTGGAAATGCAATGAGAATAACACTTCATTAAAACATACTTTTTAATGTCCTAAAGTAATATGTTCAGGGAAGAAATAATTACATAGATTAATCTGACTTTGGGACAACATTTAATATTTTCTGCATTCTTTTCAAAGTGTATTATATGGACTTTGACACTCAGAACAACAGAAATGGATTTTCTGTGCCATTAATATTGCTAAGAGACTAGTCCTTCAGCACTGGAAAGATAAATATATGGTTCCAATTACTCAGTGGATTGAAGGGTTGATATTACTTGCAGTTTATGAAAGGAGTGCTTATAGATGTTGATTAATGTATGATTGATTACACTGAAATATAGTTATTGAAACTGTTGTGTAAAATTTTATATACTTATATACATGTATGATTGACTGATTATGCGCCATCAAGTTGCTGTTGACTCTTAGCAACCACATAGATATTTTCCAAGATTACATGTATGAGAAGCCT